GTTGCTGAGGATCATATGCGTCCAACCGATCCTTATGTTCCAGGGGTTCTCTAGTGTATTCTCTTCGAGAACACTGATCGTATTTGCGATCGAACCGAGCAGACTATCACCGGACTTCATCATCATACTTTCGTAGTCATTTATTCTCTTTGTGATCCCGAAAGGTGTAGCTCCTCGGGGGCCGTCATTGAATGCAGATTGATTAAAGTCGAGGGGAAGTCGGACATATCCACAAGACTTGAAAATGAGCTCTTTGAGACCATTTTGAGTCTTAGGTTCAGGCTCCTCACTAAATCCCCTAGCATAACGCAAATCCGCCAGTCTCTCCCCGGGAGTCAAGAGATCGATAACATGAGCCCAGGAGCCATTGCGTGGTTGATTAAGCCATGCCGGTTGAGTATTCGGACTGGTAATAACTACTGGCATCGGGATTGCTGGCGGGCCTGCAAGACCAAGTGCGGGGGGTTGAGCCCAAGCAGGATGTCCAACAAGGTGATTATGAATACCCATATTTGCTGCCACAGCTTGTGCCAAAGCATTTTGCGGCTGCATGGCATTATTTGCATGAGGCATTGGGTGCAGCCCGGGGCGAATAAATGCAGTCAATGAAACCGAATCGAGTGTCAAATGTTGAAGGCTGCGTTGCTTGAGCTCTCTGATGAACCGAGTAAAAATGTGAGGACTGAACCAACAATTCTTCAATGACAGATACTTGATAAAAGGTAGAGACAAGATCTCCCTCTCTTGAACTCTGCTAACCATGTTAATGGACTCGGATACTACAGGAGCAGCGAGTACATGCTGGTTTCGGCAGAAGAGTCCAGGCGCATACTCTCCACCACATATCCATTCAAAGTGTAGTGACTCAATATTCTGACGTTTGGATATTTGCTTGAAAAGGAGTTGAAAAACACCAGTGACGGCCCTAGATGGAGGTAGCCTGTTATCCTGAACCCAACTGGTAGGGAGCTTAATAAGTTCACGCCAATCAGGAATTATACCTAGCGATAGCAAACTCAGGTTTGGTAGGCTGTTCCAGAAATCTTCGCGGACGAGGTTTGGCAAGTGTGTGTTGGGCAAGCGTGCAATGGTAAGCTTCTTAACATTGGCAAACGTGATTGGACTATCAATGACAGCAATAGTAAAGGTTTGCATGAATGCTTGTTGAGCCCATGCGAGTTCAAGTAGCATTTCCTTTTGTGCGCTGGTGAGTTCGTTTGGCTTGAGAGGATTAGGGTTAGGACTGGGCTTTTTCCTAATTTCACGAGTCGAATCGCCCATGTCGCCGTTATCCTCTCCAATGTCGTTGTGAACGGTGCTCAACATCTCATCATTGATATTAGGTAAGGTAGATCGGACGTTTTCGCCTTGACGTCCATCTTCCTCTGCCTCGGATGAAATTCCACCCTCATCGTTAAATCTTGCATTATCTTCATCATCGTCTTCAATTGCTCCAATGTCAGTTCTAAAATGATTTCCGAGCATACGAGCAATGTTTTCTTCAAAGTCCCTGTAGATAATTGGGGGTGCAACACGGCCTGGTCCTTCCTGCGCACCCGCATCCGCCCGACCTTGGTCGGACTGAGCACTATCTCGAGACTGATCCGATTGATTCCTGCGATAACCTACTTCCTGCAGCATTCGTTGAATGATTGTACGTGTTCCGGTCGGAAGCTCTGTGCGACTTGATTGATAATTTCGGGCAAGTCGTGCGCTTGTCTTTTGCTTAGGCTCTGGCTCTGGCTCGAATCTCGATGATCCAAAAACCACAGGTTTTTCACCACGCTGAACCACCTTTTGATTAATGTCTGGCCCAGCTAACCATCCCAATCCCCCATCAATGGAAAGACCAAGTTCTTCAGCTGATACAATGAATTGAAAGGCTTTCGTCATGGTCCGAGTCTCGTCAGCTTTCTGCTCAAGACCTTCCAACAGTGCATATCTATTATAATTTTGGAACGGCCATTTGTAGGAACCCCAGAAGGTTGTGATCGTATCATGGTCATGCTTTACAGGAGGATTGGTCAACTTTACAATGTCAACTTCGAAGGCTAAGTGAAATATTAGCATTAACAAATACAAGAGTGAACGGAGCGAGATGAACATACACATGGCAAAGTGTTTTATGTGTCGACCAAAACCTGAGAAATATTAGTGACGGTAATTCCACCAAACACGACTATCGATTCTATACCTTGGAAGATACGCATGCCTTTATCCTGTAACATAACAGAACTCTGAGGGTTGGGAGGCTCGGAATTTATGCCATAGATCTCCGGCCGAAAAGGGACCACTACATATTTGAAGAGGTATTCGGATACCTTCGCTTCAAACTCTCGATTTACCAGTCGCATATTTTGTATAGTAGACCGAGGGAGGTGGATGATGATAAGATTGAAAATCTCCACCGGGATTTTATTAGATACCCAACCACTTTGTCCTATTTTGATCAATACATTGCGCAGTATGTATGAGTGAGGATGGATTCTTATACGTACTTGCCATTGTTTGAACTTCTTTCCCTTCACCCTTCGAAATTTGCATTGGGAGGAAAGTATTCAAAGTACTCTGGTGAAGTTTGCGGCGCTTCGAAGAATTTTTGTCCATTATGTGAGAGTATCGAGCAGTCCAAGTGAACCAAGGCGCAAGGCTGCAATTGAAATAGTAAAAGAAGGCACGATCTTGGTGTCGTCTAAAGGTAGCGTGCCCGCACAAGCGTAGAAAAATTAGGTATTCCGTCCCAGACAAGAGTAGAGACCAGAGTAGTACTGTTAGATGTGTTGATGATTGCAATTAGTATTGATTGTGGTCATGCAGTTTTTGTGTACCGTTGTAGTGGCGATAATCTTTAGAGAGTTGACCCTAGTGGAGAAAATAGAATTTGCCAAATGGCTTCAAATGGAAGAAGAAACAAAAGCAAAGGCCAGAATATTCCTATCAAAAGAATTTTGGATTTTTTAATGTATTGCTTGTATGTGTGTTAGATGTGTATGTGTGTATGTGTGAAGAATTGTTTGTGAGGTAAGTGGTAGAATGTTGGCTGCCCCTCAGATCCGAACGTCATGCTAGTGTTCGTGGATTTAACTAGCCTTGTGTTTTATGCCTAAGGCCTCGATGTTGATATTGAGGTATTCCACCTTTTCGTCCCTACCTCCCGGTACTCCTATTACAAAGACATATCCAGAGCTGCTCCATATTATACACAGAGGACGCGACTTACACTTTTGTATTTTCCATCTTACGCATCCAAATCATAGAGGCAGTTCTGCTTTCTGATGGTCCTTGTCGATCTCTGATTGATCCACACGCTTCCGAAGGATCCAAAGGAAATGGTAGCCTTGCAGAATTGTGTATCAAGCCTGCCTCATCTTCATCCGAGACGAAAGGAAATAGGCATCTAAACGAGACCCTACTCTTTCAATCAAGCTCAATGCTAATGTTTCTTCGCAGTGTGCCAGGGCACGTAGGACGGATTCGTGCAGGATGGAAGGTAGGGGACGGAAGGGTTAGCCAAGCATACAGTTTAATTACATCCCAGATAGGATATATCTCAATTGAGTACCGGAGTGGCCAGAAGCATCTTGTCGTTTCAATTCCTGGGCCACCATGACCATTCGAAATATCACTACAAATGAGCTCCGAATTTGTGTCTGCATTATTGATACGGGCATTAGGGACCGGCCTTCTTGGACCTCCCTTGCCTACTCCACCAAAGAATCGCTGCAGTGCCTAAACAATCTATCGATGCTCTAGCAATTGTCTTTCACCATGTGGAATATATGCTCCATTAAGCATTAGCTAAGTGTTTGTATATTCCAGAGTCTTAGATCACATTTAGGATGAAGCTTATTCTCATAAGGTGTTGGGACAGCATTGTCCAACTCCAAAGTTCAAATTGAGTATCCTCATTCAAAGAGTTATGGCCTTTAGAGAACATCATCCAACATTCATTCTTAAAATTGACTTTTGGTGGTTAATGATCTCACACACTTCCGACGAAACTCTACATAACATCAAAAAATTTCAGCACACCTGCTAAGATCAGCCCCTGCCCCATTGTAAATATGCCTCAATTTTGTCCTAGAATTTTCTTCCTCAGTTGAGCCAAAGCTTGGGGTTCTGGAAATTCCCGACGCATGTCTCTTCAACTTCGTACTTGAAGGTGATCTTTCAATGGCTGGCAAGGACGGTAACATATCAGCTGATGGTCGCTTTTCGGATACCATGACTTCATTAAGCTCGTCATCTAATTCTTGAAGGGGTGTATGTGACCGCGGTCCATCTAAATATGTGTCGTGAGACCATGCAGATTCTAATCCTGCGATGAAAGGCTCGATCTCCCGCAGCTCGATCCAGTTTATTGTTTCTTCGAGCAGAGCGATGTATATGTCTTCGATCCTGCCACATCCGTCAAGGACAGCGCAGTGTTCCTTCAAGAACTCAACATCATAATCCCTGCAGACCTGTTCGACTGGAATTAGTATTGTTTGGGGGAGGCTCAACTTTTTGTGAAGGCAAGGAACTCGAGCGACACTCACTAGCTTTCTATCTAGTTCTCGAAGCATAGGAAGGCCTTTTGGATTGTGAACCTCGCAAATCTTGGCCGCGAGTGGTTGCCAGGGCCTTCCTCGCAAGACTTGCGCAAATGCATAATTCACGGCCTCCTTGAAGGAGTCACTATTTGTATCGGGCACAACTATCTTTCGATGCAATCCTCGAGATAGACATCTTTTGTAAGCTACCGTGTCCTTCTCAAAAGGAAATGGCTGGGATGACGTAGGCATCAGTGAGACATGTACAGTCCATGAATGAGCAACGCATCGATCACCCGAAAGATCACCTTCCAGGAATTCCTGACCTGATGCACTACCATTCACAGGTATTGTAATATCCCCTACAACACCGCTGTGCCAATAGTTTGACGAGCCTCCGGTTGTGATCGCCATATTGGTAGCAGGAGGCGTAGATGCTCTTTTTCGCCCCGGCCACTTTCGAGTTCTAGGAATCCGTGTCGAGATATACTCAAGAGCATCGACTCTATCTTCTACTCGCATCGATGCATCGTCGACTTCGATCATCCTAGCACGAATTCTATGGACATCATCCACTAACCCTTCAATTCGATCATCGTAATATGGTGTCCGTTTGTTTAGGGCCTCAAGATTCTGCCAAAGCCCACCAATACCATGGTGGACGCTTCGTATCTCCACTTCACGTTCCGAGTTTCCCTTTTCCACGAGTTCTTCTAAGTGTATGAGCCGCTCAAACAAGCCACCTCTCCCTATGCTTCGTTCTCGATCCAGCTCTTCCTCAAGTCTACTAATCCTCAATATTAACGCCTCAACTTCTTTACTAGAACATTCTGGGTCTGAGTTGTGATATACTGCCTGGTGTCCACAATGACACGAACTGCCTGGAAGAGATCGATTCGTTGCAAATCTGACACATGCACATCGTAGATGCTTTGATTCAGGATGCAGCAAAATGAATCTGCAACCACCTTTGGGAAGATGTGAATCATCGGTTTCACTTTTCTTGCAATGAGGTTCGAACATGCTCGTAGCATCTGAAGCTGTAAGGACCAACTTTGAAAAGGGAAACTCGACATCAGGGTCTAAAAATAGTTTACTGCATCAAGAAGTTATTCCTTGCTGTGAGGATGATGGATTAGAGTTCCATCAATGCTCTTCCGTCGAGTGCCAGTCATAAAGGGCCTTTACGCGTCCCAATATTTTATTGAAGTGCGTTGAGTTTCATGAGCTAATCGATCTTTCGCAGTACTAAAAAAGCCTCGAAATTCGTCAAAAGTACACTCGTGACGTGCAGAACGTTTTGGTTTATATGTGTTAATGGTGAAGGGGTCATCAGTGAGCAAAAACTTGCAAAAGCAAAAGATGTACAGGGGTCCAAAGATAAGCACACCCAGCCATTTGACATGTACGACCAAGACGGGTGGAACGGAAGCACTTATTGGGATTAATCGAAACCTCATACGGAATGTCAGTCATTCTGTTCCTGAAAGAAACAAAGATAGAAAACATGAGGTGAGTCAAAGAGACTTATGCAGGGAGGTGGCTACTCTTGGGATTTTGGAGAAAACCCCACGTTTGTGCCAAATGTTGCAACCATATAAATGCACTCCCTCTCATCACCAGGTATATTGTACTAAAGAGAAACGGCCATGCAGTTCTTTTTCCCAGACTTCAACCAATTCAAGATGTTGACAATCTGTATACGTCGCCTTCTTTTTCGTAGCTATACAACCATGATCACGCCATAGGATGTGATTGCATGAGAGCTACAACACATTACTTTCATACTTCCTATCAAGTCGAAAAACCTGCCGTGCTGCAACCGGTACGGCGTCAATACCAGAATGATCAAACTTGAATGCACTCCGAAATCCCGAATATTTAGTCACATTATGACCGATCTCGAGGGCCGCAATATACACATGCATATGAAGCGACACTAAAGGGGCGCAAATCGAATCACAAATTTGTGCAACGTAGCAGGGAAGACGTGGGGTCTGCGGCTCGTAGCCAGTCCCCCATCTCTCCGATATTGAATGTTATTTTGAGTGGCACCGATAAATCCCGCAAGAGATAACAACTCCGTCTCATCCTCGCATACCAAACCGATCGATGATTTACAAATACTCCGCAAGTTTCGATTAAAGTGTAACCTTCCAAAAGTATGTGTGGGATAACATATTTTCCTGTTACACTACTTTGGATCGGTGGCTCCGTTAGTTGCAATATCTAGATGCAACAAGTTCATCCTGATAAGGTACCCCCCACGTTGTCAAGATGATATTGGTTCGTTGTCCGGAGGGCTTGTATCCGGAACAATGTAGGACATTTGGTCTCGTTATGACAGCTCATTTCACGTGACTCAGAGCTCCATCATTCCCATACTCCTTTATATGTATATATGACATGATGTTTTAGGGCTCAAGCATCCATTTAAACATCAATATTTCTTAAAATAGATAGGTTAATCAATGCCACGCTCTCTAGCCGTTCTGGACTTTATATCGCATTATATTTTCCCGTGGTAGTATCACGTGGGCGAGTCCAGAACACTTAACCTCGAAGTAGACACACTCTACAACTTACACAAGTCCAAGGATCAAATTTAACACCAATTTTTAAATCTACAATGAAATCATTACTACTTTAACATTGATGGAATAACATTACGCGGTGTTTGTGGGCAACTCCGTCATTTAAGCCTTTGTGTCGGTTAAATGAAAAGGTCTTCTACTCGATCTAGGTGAGCGTTCATGGATTTAAGCTGTGTCCGTAGTATACACAAGCATTTTCACATGTGCACGGCCATGTATATATTACCTTTACCAAACTTTCATCTCGACTCTCCTATTGGCTATTGTCGACAAGTGGGGTAGAAATTAAGGGCGGCAAGAATGCAACTGTCTCCCAATCAATTACTAGCTACTTTGACTAGTACATACGTCCTCTTTTTGATGTTCTTCATGGACTTTTGAAGATCAAGTGTTTCTTCTCGCTGCTGCCATTGTCGAACACGGTTTGTGTCTTACTTTACAATGGGTGAACTGGATGAATTAGTATCTACCTTACTCGGTACTTTTACGAGCGGCATAAGACTGCTCAAAGCTAGTCGCAAAAGACGTAGGAGTGGCAATGAAGCAATTGATACCTATACAGATAAGGACGAGGAAACTCCTCTCATCAAGTCATTCAAAAAATCTAGATCAGACATTCGAGAAGCATGGGAAAAAGGTTCTATCAAGGCTGGTCCTAAGTTCTCGGAAGGCGATGGTATGAACCATAATCCTAAAGTCACAATGTACAAATTCTCATATTATGGCAGCGAGAGCGCGATCATCACTCTCGACGATACTATCACGATTAAACACTGCTTTCACGTCCGCAATAGTATCATTTTCTCGAGGCAAAGTCAAGTCTTCAGATCGGGAGGCTCTTATAAAGCTATCCAACGAATCACGTGTAGAAACAATCAATACACTTAATGAGCTTTCTAAGCGGATATCAGTATCTTCTTCATCGCTAACATCCCGAGATGCTCTAACTGAGACCAAACATGGTCGTCGAAAAAGAGACCAGAACCTAGTTCCAACCGTTCCGACCAAGCCTACTGCTCTCGGACTAGCTACGAGGGACGGTTGGGTACGATCAAAATCCAGTAAGAAAGGTGCCGCGAAGCCCAAAACACATGCTGGAAAAGCTAGTGTTACAGAATCAAGAGGCGAGCAGAAGCCAATGCCCTCACAACCCGTCGATGTAGTAAGGAAGCGAGATCCAATACCCATGCCCCGAACAGCAACAGAAAATAGAAAGTCAGGCTTCTCGTTTGCATCTGATAGCACAAAACTGTAAGTACATAAATCTACTTTGCAACCCTTTACGATGTGCATCCCTACCGTCCATTGAAATTTCGTCTCGATGACTGACATACCCTTTTCCAGCGGTGAAATTCCAGAACACAGATTGGCTAGATTGCTTGCTACATCGGAGCATAACGATACTGGATATTATATGCACACAGTAGCTTATCCTTTGGCTCCGTATCAACCAGAGCCTCAGAAACGTCGCTTTGGCATTGGTAAGCTTTGTAAAAGCCGACCGGCGCAGAAGGATGTATAGTAATTGAATTTTAATGATAAAATATTTCCTTCTATGGGTGTATATGTGATTTTCGATACTATGTTGTTCTGTTGCTATTTTCTTGCATTAGTGCTGTTAATTATCATACTAGAATTTCCACTGGTGATAGTCTAGGTCGAAATGCGACTTGTCGGCTTTTGTTGTAAGTTAGTATGGGATGCTATAAATATGTTCTAATAGTCTTAGAGGATTTAATGTTTCAATTAGCTTCATAATCTAGAGCAAATTCAATGTCTCAAGTGAACCGAATTCTCCAGTTGATTTCAACACCTTTGTGATTTCTATGTTTTGAGTAGTCTCAAAATATTAATCATATTTGATTATTAGACTATTTTCTACACATCCAAACCCCTGAGTCCCCATATTGCGCTCGAGTAGCAGCATCCCCCCTTTTGCCTCTGTAGCTGTACTTTATAGAATTTAAGCGATTGCACACGTTGTGATTATATGAAGTGAATAAAGCGGCCAAAAAACCAAGCGACTCACTAGCGTAAAGTCCAGTATCGAATATAAATATCACGTCTAGTTGAGAAATTGCTGACCATGGGCAAGTAACTACTCCACTGGAGTTTATATGATGAGGTATCACTCATGTCGATTTGCCACTTCCTTGCTGCATTCAAAGAATTGGGTGGAATAGTGTGGATATGGTATCAATAGACAAGTTCCTTGGAGGAATCTTTTCTAGATGATGATGATGATGATAAATTGTGGTTGATGAAAGTTGTATTTATATCTTGTCGTTTATATATTTATCTATGTGTATTGTCGTTTGGTTCGAGTCTTTTTATTCTCGTTGTCGAATAAACAAGTCGTGATATTTTTAAACTTTTCTGTGGAATAACCGTCCTCAACCTCACAGCACCAACACCTACACCTACACCCGCACTATCACTAATATTGCCATTTTTGAAATATATGTGTAGACACAGAACTGTTTAAATGTTACTGTGAAAAGAAGGAAGAGGTCAACATATTATAGACCTAGTAGTCACTTCTTCAGCCCCTCTTTCTCTCTTGTAGAAATTGAATCACACTAAAAACTTCATGTAAGTCATATAGAAGCAACATTTTCAATTTCCATACAAGGGTTACAAGGCAGGACCAGCATTCAGCATGTAGACTTTTCTCTATCGTGTAGCTTCAAAAGCTACACTTAAGCATGGGAGAGAAATAATGGTAAAGTGCACCAATTTAACCTAGCCTTGGTTTGGATATTACTCTTATTGATTTTGATTGTCAATGGTAGCTTCACCATTGCCAACTATCGACTCTGTCTTGCATCGCTTTGTATATATATTTCCATACTCGCATTTTACTCTGTTCCCGTTATAGATGGATGAAAACTAGTACTGTATTTAATCATGATTTTATGATTTACAAAGTTTAAGTGACTTCCTCATTTGCTTCTGCAACGATAGCTATTCTTCACATAACTTAGGATATTAATATCCTTGATCAAAATTTAAGGAGCCTCGTACTGATATATAGTGGTAGGTTTATATAGAGTTTTGAATACCTAGATGAAGAAGTCAATTATTCTAGTTTGCGATCACCTCTATTTTTCCGGCCATTATTTTTGTAAAAAAAACTTAACTCTTGACGTTTTTAAGTTTTTATTTTTGAATGTAGAATCTTTATATAAATATAAATCAATTCTGAAAATTTTGATTTTTTTTACAAACCTTGAAATCTTAATTTGTACATAATTTATATACAAATTAAAAAATAATTAAAAATAAATCATTGTTGTCAATTTTCTAATTCTTAAAATTCTTGTAGTCGAAATAGGAAATTTCGAACAGAACAAAAAATATAAACAAGATTACAAGATTTTTTTAAAAAATATCTCTCTTTTCTTAAACAGAAAGAAGTGTTTTTTGAGGGGAAAGTTTGGAAGCCCTATCATACAGTGACAAAAGAAAATGCAACTATCCCAGAATGGCCTCTAACTCAAGTAGAGAGACATATATCGTGACCCCCGTTCCAATAACCTCGTGGAGTCTTATTCCTGGTCAAAGTTGTGGTGGTTACAATAACAGCATTCGGGATTGTTATTTAGTGGGAGATTCTCTATACAATATCAAACGGGGGCTTGATCTCTTCTATGTAATGTGACGTTTTCAAAGGATTTGACTATTCACAGCTTGGGCCAAGATGCAATCCTATTGGTTACCAATTACTTGGGCCGGTGGAGATTTAGGGTAGGAACGCATGAATAGAAATGGGCTTTGGATGATCTGGACCAGAATCTGTGCAGTATACTAAAGTATTATTGCATCCTTACAATATGTAGAACTTCATGGGCTCTTCTACCACACAGTATTCATTTTCCCATCCCGGTTGTGCGAGTAGGTTTCCACTTCTCTGCATTGTCAACCCCTCAAAGTCACTTGTTAATTAGACCCTCCAAGGCCACTTTTCCTCAGACTTGAATGTCATATAATCCCAGCCTTGGGAGTGGATCCCATAAACAGACTTTGTACGAACCAGGTACATTACATGCATACTAGACCTTCCTGTGTTCAGCGTGCTTAGCTAGATACATTGATTGTCCGCGGAACACAACGCACCAAGACGGATATTTCACCTCCAGTTTTTTTGTTTACATGTATTCCAATTATACTGGTGAATATAGAATATTAAGATGCATAGTACAAATTACAACTTAACTCCGGGACTCTAAGTGCATAAGCTTAATCGGATGTTTGTGTAAGCCTCACCATGCTCAGTTTATAGTATAGTGAATGGTACGATCGCGCATTTCCAACATTATGCAGTACAGGGACTCAGTGAGCAACGATACCCTGCTGCTTACTGACCACATACGTTAAAGTCTCCTTTGAACGAGGCATGATTTATGTAGGTACCTTCGCATGCCCTTCCCTTCTACTCTAGCTAGTAGTTCTTCGTGTCTTATCGTAAATTATGAATTATGGAAGTCCCTACAGATCCGATTACATTATTGTCGGTGGTGGTCTTACCGGCTGTGCGCTTGCAAGTCGCCTCGCAGAGCGTCTAGGTCCGTCTTCATCCATCCTTATTCTCGAAGCTGGTGTAGATCCTACATCAAACCCAAACTCGACGAGTCTAGGAGGAGGGTTCGCACTTCCCGGGTCTGAACTCGACTGGGCTTATAAGACAGCACCTAATCCTGCTCTTGGGAACCGTGTTATTACGCTTGTTGCAGGAAAAACGCTAGGTGGTGGAAGCGTGCTAAATTATAGCGGGTGGGCTCGTGGTGACAAAAGGGATTACGATGCTGGGGCTCGCATTGTAGATGATGATCGCTGGAGTTACAACGGTATGTTGCCGTATTTCCAGAGGAGCGAGTCTGTTCATGATGCAGCAGCAAACCCGGATCAATATGGTTCCCATGGTCCCATGAAGGTGACTAGCATTAGTGCAAGTGATCCGAAAAGAAAATATCCGCTGCGTGAACCTATTCTGAAAGCTGTGAGTGCTATTCAATCACCGATTATAAATCCCAAGATATAAATGGGGAATGTCTATTTTCGTTGTTCATCCCATCTCCACTTTCAAAATTTGCTACTTATCGCATATTCGCTTCAAAATGAATCAAGAATGGAAAATTACTGACACCCAGATCTTTTAGTGGGCCGAAATTGGCGTGGAGCATATTCCAACAAACACTGGCAAACTTGATGGCTTATCAGAATTCCTGGAAATTTTCGACGACAGTGTTCGCCAGCCGTCTCATTTGGCCTTCGACCTATCTGGTGTTCGTATCATTACTGAAACTATTGTACATCGCATATTATCCGAACAGACTCCGGACCAAAAGCCACGAGCCACAACTGTCGTGCTTGCGGATGGTCGTAAAATTAAAGTTCGTAAAGAGATCATAATCTCTGCCGGTGCCGTAGGCTCGCCACGGTTGCCACAGCTTTCCGGAGTGGGACCAGCTTCAGTGCTTGATCGCTATTCTATTCCAGTTATTTTTGACTTGCCAGCTGTTGGTCAAAACCTCTTTGAGCATTTTGCATTCTTCCAAATCTTTAAGCTGCGCAATCCGGAGCGTGGACTTTCCCTTGGACATCCCAGTCTTTCGGATCCGGCTTTTTTCAATGGAATGCTCACGCTGCCAACATCTCGAGGTTCGCTTGAACTGGCGTCCGCTTCACCCAATGTCCCTCCTGTAATTGCAGGGAATTACTTTTCTACGGCAACAGATCATGCGGTATTAGTCTATGGAGCTCGTCGACTACTACAATGTCTTACTAGCACTGAAATTGGTAAAGAGTTTGTAGAAACTGAGGTTGGTCCTGCTCCAGGACTAGAACCCTTGACCGTGGAAAGTAGCGATAAGGATATTGAAGACCGGATTCGTATCGTTGGAAATCCACATTTCCATATTGCTGGAACTTGTGCAATTGAAAAGGTGCTGGATACCAATTTACGCGTGAAGGGCGTTCAAGGCTAAGAGTTATGGATGCAAGCATATTCCCGGCACCACTAGGAGGACAGCCTCAAGCTTCATTATATGCAATTGCAGATCTGCATAAGTAAGTTCCCATTACGAATAAATTCCATTTCCACATGCTTTCAAGACTCTATAGTGGTCCTCAAAGTTGAGAGTCTCTCGATCCCCCCACAAGTCGTCGGCATGGGTATGCTCGCGCCCGAACGAATCCAACTCCAACTTCAACTCCAACAGCAACAACAACAACAATCCGGCCAAACACCCTGGCTCATGGATGATAACGCCCTGCTCGATCTCGATATGAATGTCATGGATGGCGATGTAGATTGGAAGGGGTGGAAAGACCTTGTGCGGGATTTCAGAATAGTGGGGAGGGACAGGTGCCGGTTGGGGAGGATGCAAGGGCGAATGCGTTGGGTGGGGTGGGCATTGGTGGTGATTCTCCTACCGCACTCTATTCTGCTGCTCTATTTTTCCCCTGATCGCTTCCCTTCATGCATTGGTGTGGGATCTTTTGCTTGGGAATTGGATATTGGGTATTGGATACTCTGCGAGAACACGAAAATATGGGATCGATTACATGAATGTGATGTTTTTGACGCGGTTTACAAGCATGCTACGAACAATATGGATGGATATAATCGGGGAACTGGCGTTCTGTTTGTTTGTTCATAATGGCAGAGTATCATTCGCTGGGACACATCATGATTTCAGTTGAGTTGAACAGGATTGGATTTGGTTGGATACGATTGGATGGATATATGGGCGACTCGACTTTTGGAATTAGATATATCCCCTCTGCTCTCTTTGCTCTGCTCTGCTGTTTTGCATCGGTTTTTGGTTGGTGGTCGTCGTTCGTTCATGTGGCATAGGATGGGGTAGAGTGGCGATGTGGTGTGGATTGGTGTGAGGTGGTTTGAGAAGAGAGGGTCGATGGATATTTGTATGATAATGGGAATATGACGAAAAATGAAAAATCATAGTAGGAAGTGTGAAGTATATTTATCTTCTGAATTTACAACTACCGTGCATAAAGTACAAACATGGGCCATGTAACGTCGAGATACAAGAATCCCTCACAAACAACCCACTTCCCCCCTCATAACCATCGTCGCCTCTCCCCTCCTGACCCCAACGACAGTAGAAATGCTCTCTAACACCGTACTCGTCACCGGCGCAGTAATATTCCATGAATAAGTAGGCCCAGCACATAGCGCCGTTCCCGGCACCAAAGACAATGTACAAGTATCACTAGCCAGTGACGGATTCACTAATCGGAATAAGCTCACCTCGATCGAACTCTGCACGCAAATAGTCGTGCAGGTATCGGATGTGAGTACCACGTGCCATTTTCCACAGTTGAGTGTAGTGCCCGCAGCGATAGGAATATCTGCAGGTGGGGGAATGGAAACCCGTGTATAGCCATCCGAGGGCTCGGTTGGGACAGGGGGGGTTGCTGTGCCTGTGAATGTGCCGCCTTGCGGGGAGACGCAGATGATTTTGCCGTAGAAATCGGTGGCGGGTTGGAGATTACTGCAGGTGGGGTTGAGCCAGCTGTTGTAGGAGAGGAGTTGGTCGAAATCGAGTCCGAGGGCCATTTCGATCGAGATACATGTGTCGCTGGGTTGCAAGTAGTATGTTTGGCAGGTTATGGGGAGGCAGAGGCTGATACCGGGGGAGATGGTGAGACAGGAGGGGAGGAGTGCTTGGTTGCCCATGTAGAGAGAGGCGGAGGAGACGGAGTTACTGTTGGCTATGGATTCGCAGGTGTCGGTTTGGAGGGTTGTGTAACGTTTGCCGGACACGCAGTAGGGGGTTGGAGTTGGAATCGTGGTTACGAGAGCGGTTGGGATGGTTGTTGGACCGGTACCGCCGCATTGTGTGTAGACGTATTCGAGTTGCTCTTTGAAGAAGTCGTCGTAGATGGAGTATTGAGAGGATTGCATCATAGCGAGACGGCGAATGTGGCATGTATGGCACAGTTCTTCTCGGGGCATAGATTTTATATTGGGGACATCTGTAAAGTTGAACATAATGTCTATGTCACAAGTCCCATTAGTTTTTGTGCGAGACTAGAGGATTGTTCATACCGTTGCAATACTGCTTTGTCTTGGGATCTTTAACGCAGGTCTCGTTGAATCCAGCCCACATATAACCACCAAATGCTGTAGGGTTGCCGTCATTAAGAGTCTTGCCTGCGCAGTTCGCAGTGACAGAGTCGAACCAATTTTTCAAGGAAGCTGAACAGTCGCTTGTACATATCATATCCGTCAAAGTGACATTTTCAAGAGATGTGCGATAACGTAGTTGCATGAATGTTTGCACATAATCAACGCAATTAAAGTCGGCGGAAAGGGCATTGATACACGCATCGCCGAGGGTAGAGTCGAGCCAGTCTGGCTCGTAGATGGCAAATTGAGCAGTGGTCAAGCCAAGCTGCAGCAAGAGACATAGAGAGACTACACTTATCATACTGAGCCTTATACTGAGCGACTATGATTGAGAGAGCTCCTCAGGAAGAGACCTACGACGAACTTGTGGGGGATTGAAGATGAGCCCATTCACTAAAACATTGAGGCACATTCCACTTGGACCATACTCGTGCTTGGTATTGGATGAAGGGTACGACTGCTTCGACACTAGTCTTGCAAATCGCGATCACTGACATGAATTCAAACAAATTTACTGAAATGACCCGCGTCGGCAGCAGTCAGCGTCACATCAATATGGACATCTTACCCATCACTATCTGCCAAGCGTCAAAAGTAGCAGGTTCAATACATTCTCCTGCGTCTCTGAGGCGTTCGAGATTAAGTGTTTCTTCTCAAAGTCGCTCGTGTATTAATTTATCACCACACTTTCAAGAGGATATTGAGAAATGGCACTAGCTTCGGCGGATAATATAGAAAATATCGAAGCCATATATTCATGTATCACCACACTTTCAAAAGAATATTGAAAAGTGGCATTAGCTTCGACGGATAATATAAAAAATATCAAAGCCGTGTATTTCCGAGGCTGTTCCGGCAGGTTCAGTATGGTCGTATCGTAAAGATTTACAAATGAGATTCGATATTGAGTCTTCTATTACATCTCCAAGATCCAATTTACTTCGCTGCAACTCCTTGTGTCACGATAAGCCGGTCATAATTACAGCCCCTGTGTGAATATGCACGCGTCAAAATGAGATAAATCATCTGTAAATCAATATAGGAAATAAAAAATTGACAACGGATAATATGTTCGAAATTGTCATCAAACGCACTAGTCCTGAAATGACACTAGCACTTCGCAAAACACCTCTCTTCATGACATCATCTTTCTGTCGACCTTTACCACAATACAAATTCTGATATTGCTTCGTAGCACTGCTTAGGAAAGCTGCTTGGCATACAGTTTCTGATATTGTGATGGTGTGAAGATAGTCGACGTGGAAATTGGGTGAGAATTAAGATTTGACCACCATTTGAAATGATGCGTTAATGTCGCACTTCCTCCAGAGCATGGCCCTTGAGTAGGGGTACCATATAGGCTGTAGAAATGATCATAAAGAATGCATCCATATGTGTCACGCATCTGAAATTGTAGTACAAGTTTGGCTGTTATGTTCCTCAGTTATTTTCTGCGAAAGCTTGCGAATCTCAAGTGAAGAATCCGAATTTTTGCCCTTCTTGCTTGAAAGTGTTGATATAAATTTGTCATTCACAAAATCAGAATGCTGATTCGATCTCTCATCTCATGCGTTTTGCTATTTCACCATGCTACGGCTCAAACATGCAGTCCTTCCAGCCCGTGTGCAATAGGCTGCTGCAATAAGTTCGGGAATTGTGGCTTTGGGCCCGACTGTAAGTTTTCTGAGCCCTTGATGCTGTGCACTGCTTAACATTTGTTAGTTTGCGGTTCTGATTGTATATCGGATTGTAGTAGAAAGTCTGAATGCAACCCAGGGTTCGGTCCAGAATGGGCTTCAAGAGACAAGTGCCCGTTGAATGTTTGCTGCTCAAAGTACGGATTTTGTGGTGTACGTACGATCATGAGACGTCATATACATACTTGTGAAGCCATTAGACCACTGACATGCTAGGTCATAGACCACTAAAGACTTCTGTGGAAACAAGACAGTACCGCACAAGACATGCTCCAAGACCAATGGCAATGCCCGTATCATTGGTTACTATGAAAGCTGGGCGTCCAGTCGTCCTTGTAATGTCTTTTGGCCAGAGCAGATTCCCATTGGGCTCTATACTCATATCAATTTCGCTTTTGCTACCATCAATCCTACCACTTTCAAGGTTGAACCAGACTCTGAAAATGATGTTGGTATTTATAAGCGCCTCATGCTTTTAAAGAAGAAAGATCCAGGACTCAAGGTATTCGTCGCCATTGGAGGTTGGACCTTTAATGACCCAGGCCCCACGGCGACGACTTTCTCTGACATTGCCGCTTCAGTTCCGCGACAAAAGACTTTCATCGAATCGCTCATATCGTTCATGTCCACTTATGAATTTGATGGAGTCGATCTGGATTGGGAGTATCCAGCCGCGGACGATCGATCCGGTAGAGAGGTAGACTTCTCCAATTTTCCTAAATTCATGGATCGTTTGAAATCATCTATGGATTCGGCGAGTAAAGGGGTCTCCATCACACTTCCAGCTTCTTATTGGTACCTACAACATTTTGACTTGAAGGCTTTAGTAAGTTGTTGATGCTATCATCGTTTGCTCGTTGTCTAACACTGCAAAATTAGGCTAAAAGTGTCAGTTGGTTTAATGTGATGTGAGCTTAAACAACTTTTCAGCAGTCTTATAATTCCACTGACACTCGTAGGTCGTACGATTTGCACGGAACATGGGACAAGGGCAACAAGTGGACTGGAGCCTTCCTAAACACGCATACCAATTTGACCGAGATAGATCTTGCAATGGATCTGATCTGGAGGAATGATATCAATCCGAATCAAGTAGTCTTGGGATTAGGTTTCTATGGTCGATCTTTCTCAGTCTCCAGCCCTTCCTGCATCGAGCCCGGATGTACGTATGAGTCCGGAGGTATGAAGGGCAAGTGCAGCAGAGAGGTTGGAATCTTATTGAATTCCGAAATCGATGATTTGGTGAAGGCAAACGGTGTCAAACCAAAGCTGTACGAAAAAGACGCCTCCAAAGTGGCATCATGGGGAAATCAATGGGTAGCATATGATGACGAAGAGACATTCAAGCTTAAATCTGAATACGCTCAAAGTTCGTGTCTTGGCGGTCTTATGGTCTGGGCGATCAGTCACGACACAAAAGATGCGAAGTATAACAAGGCCTTGGCAAAGGTTGCCAATCGGAAGATTTTGGCGTTACCGGTGAGATATGGCTCTGACGATCCTTACGAGTTTGTCGATTTCCCAAACGAGCAATGCAAATGGACAAATTGCAATGAGAATTGTCCCAGTGGATGGGTTCTCATGAAGAGGGAGGATGACGGTAAGCGAGGTACAGAATACATGTTCGATGAGAGCGGCTGCGGCGGGACTGGAGTTCACAGATTCTGTTGTCCCCCTGGAAATCTACCTACCTGCGGCTGGTATACACATCATAATGGAAAATGCGACAATACCTGCCCTTCAGGGACTGTCGAAGTGGGATCCAACGAGAAGTATTGCAGGCAGAAGTATCAAGCAGCGTGCTGTACCACTGGCTCCAAAAGCATGAAACTCTACACCAAATGTGAGTGGGGCCAATACCCTTTGTGTAATTATCAAGGAGGTTGTCCAGGAACCGACTCGGCGAAGGATACATTACTTGCCAGTTCGTCATCTGGAAGTGGGGGAGGAAGCTGCAATATGTGGAAACTGGGACCGCCGGGAAGCCATGTTTTTGAAGTGCAAGCGCGCAAGTTTTGCTGTGATACTGGCGACCAAAAAGCGACATTTTCGGACTGTGAGTGGTACAACAATATCGGCTTTGGGCCCAAGGGTGCTTCAGAGGGATGGTGTCGTAGCGGTTGTCCAAACGATAGAGTACGTGTGGCCATCGACTCATGGTCACAAGATTGTTTTGGGAAAGGATCCGGTGGAGGAAAAGCCAGATGCTGTATACCAAGTTACTCTGATCGAGTCGAAGTTGAGAATCCCAAGCTTGACGGATATCGATCTACGATGAAGTCCTATACTGACGATCCGACATGTGCAAATCCGGGCCCCATCCTTGGGAGAAGAAACCTCGATTTTAAGCAGGACAACGGATCGGCGATACCTGTGTTTGATCTAGACACCTCTCTAGAGTTGACGAAACGGGCTGACAAGATCGACGTGACCAGGACTGAGAGCTTACTGCTAATTCTCATTACCAAAGTCGGCACGTCGGCCATGCTAGAGGAGACAGAAAGGATCTGGAATGACTACATGAGAGACAAATTCAGTCATTTAACATTTCCAAGTTTCCGTTCTTACGTTACCAATCTACCTGAATATGGTAGTGAGGGACCAATCCAAATATCTCACGCCGTGGTCTGCAATCCTCACTATTGGAATACTCGTGCGAGTGGTAGTAAGACTTTGAATTGCGTTGACGGTATTTGTACGACTGAGTCGTGCTATGGAATCGAAGAGCGAAACCCACGCGCCCTGTTTGACCTTGAGAGGAGGATTCGACCGGCTCGAGATTATCGCCCGACGCTCACAGGTGCAGCAGCAAACACTGGTGGACAAATCACTATTAGGATCACTTTACCGCGTTACAATGGCATTGAGGATTTGTCTGATGATGATGCCATGAACGATGAAGCGGTTGACTTTGCCGGAAGAGGAGATTGCACCAATGCTCAGATGGCTCATTTCTCCCTTCCAAGCGATCAACGCTATCAAATGGAGCATATATTCGACGGCAACGTCATGGGAAGATTCATGGCCGATGCAGCAGCTGGTAATCTGAGAAGTGGAGCCGTAGCACGATCCGGACCAGTATCCATCTCGTTCTTCCGCGCAGCTCAAACAATGCCTCTCCTGCCCAACGCGCCCCCTCTGCCAGGAGGCGCAAACTACATCCGCCTCTACGACAGAGTGATGGAAACCCTGGGTAGCGATACTAACACAGCGAACTTCGTCATCACCCACGCTGACATCAATTTCGTGAAAACTTATCTCATGCAAGGCCAGGACCCTATTGCACGAACTCGCTTTCCCACCCTCGCAAGCGACTTTGCACACCCTGAGTACGTTCTCCTACGACTGCGTGCGTCAATTGGTCTCATTAATTATCTCAACCACCAGGGAACACCAAACGTCAATGCTCGATTAACCAATATCGTTAACAATGCTGGGGCTCAGTGGCAGCATGGTCAAGCTACTTATAATGCAGCCAATCCCAATAACCAAGTTGCTATTGGGGATTTTTGGAGTGAGTGGGCCGAGGACTTTTTCGCTTGGTTGATACTGCATACGAGGAACTTTGTGCAGTATGGAATTGATCAGATGAGACGATATTGGGGAGTCGGAACGAATGAAATTACGAATGAGGTTTTGGAGATTTTGAGGAACTTGGAGGATCAGTTGAATCGTTTGAGTATTGATACGAGTGGATTTTATTAGACGTCTTTGACTCACGATTTCTACTGTACTTTAACATTCGCATATGATTCAAGACATCTTCAGCAAGCAGGATTTTCTCAACCTCTGGTGAAATTCTTTCAGTGGATAGCTCTTGGATCACAATGACTTTTACTCCTGATATCTGATCAAACCCCAAATAAATACGCGCCGCGATGAAGTGATACATTTGCGATCCTCAGACGCCAAATCACATCGAAGAATCTCCATCCCAAATCACCTGCACTCCACCAATCGTCGGTGGCGCAATCCTTTCCAACTCCCCAAACATTACCAATTTCTCCCACAACTCAAAAGTTTTCTTTATCTTTACCTTCAACCAGCCAAAATACCGTTGCGTGACTCGTGAGTTTCTGGGAACATAATCACTGGCTTTGTAGTCTGCTTGTACACACTTTATCCAATAATCGCCTTTCCCATCAACATCTGTTAAAACCTCTTGATCAACCAGTAGGAAGCATCCTCTTCCATTCTGAGAACCTCCTTCTTGGTGGGTCTTGCGCAAGTCATCCATATCAAGGTCCTTCAGCGTTGAATTGACTTTTAGGTCGAGGTCGAATAGAGACCAAAGTAATTGCGCCTCCTCATTGTTTGAGCCAGAAGTGCCCTCCGGACTCGTCATAATCACATTATAGACCGAGGATGTAATAGCATCAATGAGTATATCCCATCTTTGATCATCTTGCGAACCGGTATAGGCAGTGCGGTAGATTGTAAAACCCCAAGTCTCGTGACGTACTTCCTGATTATCGGAGACTCGCACAAGGTCTTGCAGGAGATTGGCGAAGTCTGACATCTTTCGCCTGTTCGTGCTGGGATAGTATTGATTGATGATACGATGCTGTGGTCATGTAAGCGCTATTGACTTGGCAAGTGAATGGAGTGATGAGCGCAATTGAGAAGCTTACCGATGCTTAACGAGGTAGAATTGATGCGGGGGATGGCTACTCGGTCTATGGTTGCGCGGATGAGACTGCAATTTTACGTGAAGAAGACTTTAGGCAAAAGTGTGTAAGATTGGGTTTGAGCAAGAAGGTAATATTTATGTTACTAGTAGTTCAATACAGGAGGTGCTGAGGAGGCACGGGAAATATAAAGAGGCACGGGAAATATAAAGAGACGCGGTGTGGTGGTATCGTATCAAGGTGAATCTGCCGGGTCCGAGGCGACGGCAAGGCAAGGTACCAAGCCAAGGCCGCATGTAATCGGCGATGATTTTCGCACCACAAATCGGGAGAAAATTCGAAACCCTTCGTTTGAGTGCGCCAGTAAAAAGACTTGCACGAAGGCTCATGGAAGCCTCCCACTTGAAGAAGTCTCCCTGATGCAAGTGAGCGGCGTTGAGCTTGAAATGACGCCGTAGGTGGTGGAACGTCAAGCTTACCACCAAAAACTAGTCAGAATTGAAGATATTTGTTAGCGTAGGAATTCTACTTAAGAAAAGAAAAATATCCGGATAATCCTCGTAATCTCGGTTATATTTCCTATTCCGTCTGAAACTTCCTATTTCGGCTAGAAATTTTTCAAAAAGTGGAAATCTAAATTATATAATATATTATTTAATATAATCTTAGTTCTACGGAAGTGCGAAGCTCTCCTACAGAGAGCTTCTCAATCTAGTCCTAATAGGACTAGTGCCCTGTGCACGTGCTACGCAGTGTGACGGAAAAGTCGTAAACGGAGTCAATTCAATTACTTAGAATCTAAAACTAAAGAACTAAGAAGATTCTAAGTAAGAAGGTCTTTATATACAGGGCTAGTGCACGTGAGCCACTAGTGGGTAACAACCGTCACGTAACACGCAGGAACCATTCACTTTAACACTTTATTTATTTAAATAATTATTTTTATTATAAATTTCAATTAGAAAAATATAAAAATATAAAAATATAAAAATATAAAAATATAAAAATATAAAAATATAAAAATATAAAAATATAAAAATATAAAAATATAAAAATATAAAAATATAAAAATATAAAAATATAAAAATATAAAAATATAATATTAACGTAACTTATGGTGAACCGGGTCATATGGGGAACCGGGTCACATTTAGCCCATCACTGACTTCAAACCCCAACAAATTTTGCTATGCATACCGAATCACCTCTTACGCCTTCTCAAATTGAAGAGAAGATACAGAATGCTATTATTGCACTTCAATTGAAGGACTTTAAATCAATTAGAAAGGCTGCAGAGTATTTTGAAGTTCCTAAGTCAACTCTCATAGCTAGGGTCGCTGGAAGGAAATCATGTACTCAATCCCACGAAATGGCTCAAATTCTTTCAAACGCAGAAGAAAATACTCTTGTACAATGGATTTCACGACTTACCATCACTGGATTCCTTGCTACACCTATGTTGGTGAAGGAAATAGCCGACGAAATTCGTCTTCGATGCATTCAGATCGCGTCATCTCGAATTCCTACCTCGACAGAAATTCCACCTATAGGCCACGAATGGATCTATAGATTCCAAAAACGATATCCAGAACTTAAAACATGCTATTCATATCAATTAGAGTCTAATCAGATTAAAAAGACAACTCCAGAGAATATTCAGGCTTGGTTTGATATGTTTCGTATATGTTTCATTGAACGAAAGTATGAATTAGATGATATATATAATATGGACGAAACTGGATTTGGAGTTGAAAGTACTTAAAGTATATGTATTATAATCGATTCTATTCAGAAATCGAATTGGAAAATTACAGTTGGCAAGCAAGAATGGATAACTGCATTTGAATATATCAATACAACTAGAAAGGCTCTATCACCTATAATCATTTTCAAGGCTCAGAATACGAATTCTGTATGGATTCCAAAGGACATATCTCAAAGCTAGCAGTTTTCTACGAGTACGAATGGATGGACCTCAAATAGTCATGGATTAGAATGGCTAAAAAGGGTTTTCGAACCAGAATCCAAGAAAGTGTCAGGTGACCGACCTCGACTTTTGATCATGGATGGCCATTCAAATCATATTACAAGCAGCTTTATTGCTTTCTATATAGAGAAGGAAATCGATTTACTTATATTACCTCCTCATTGCTCCCACTTGCTTCAACCACTTAATATTGCGGTGTATGGGCCAATAAAACGATATCATACTTTAAAGGTCGATCAATATTCTCGAATTGGTGTAAAGCGAATTCAAAGAGTTGAATGGGTAGAACTCTTTCAAAATATTAGAAAAAAAGTACTGAATTCTTCTAATATTAAAGTTGATTGAAGAGGAATTGGTTTAGTACCTTTTGCCCTACGAAAAATACTCGATTTATTACCATTTAACTCCTCCTAGCAACCTTCTACTCCACAAATGAGAATGTCCAATCAAGATCTAGACTTATCTATACTCAAGAGCTCTCCTCCAGATGGGACAGAGCTAAGGCAAGCAAATCAAACCTTTAATAAAGCTCTAGCAGATAATGATTCTCTTGCATCATCAACTCGTCGATATGCCAAGAGAATGACTAGGCTTGTAGAATCTCAAAATGCTGAGATAGCCCTACTTCGGAAACAGCTCGCTGATGCTCAGGAAGTAATTGAGACTCGAAAGAAGAGAACTAAAGGCAAAAGAGTCAAATTACAAGGTCAATTTGTCTTTAGTAGTGAGGAAGTACTGAAAATGGTACATGAGGCGGAGGAAAAACCGAAGGAGAAAAAGCCACGAGGGCGACCACGTAAACGTCCAATTGAAGAATTAGAAGAGGAGACTGAAGAAGAAGAGCCAGAGAGTAGTTCAAGTGATTTAGAGTTGGAATTGGATGAATGTGTAGCTCGTAGAACAAGATCACATAGAGAGAATTGAATTTTGTGACCCGGTTCCCCATATGACCCGGTTCACCATAAGTTACGTTATTAAAAAAAATTAAAATATTTTTTTGATTTATTCATAAAAGATTATATATAACTTTGTAATTTCAATTTTTATAAAGTATATTTACAAAAAATTCTTTAAATCTTTTATTTTCATTGAATTGAAATTAATAATATTAATAATAACATTAACAATATTATTAAATTATTATTAAATTATTATTAAATTATTATTAAATTATTATTAAATTATTAAAGTAATATCCTGATATAATTATATCATATTTACTTGTTGGTTAATAAAATAATATCTTAAGAGCAAATAAAACGTTTTTTCTTAGTATTGAACGATATCTTATTAAGGAATTAATATCTTATATTCAAGTTTGATCATAATTACCGTCAAATATCATAAGATCTGACATCTGGCCTCAATCCGAGACCATTCTTTGGCTTTTATGCGAGTTTTACAGCTTTAAAGAGCTCTATGTCAAGATTAGAGATATATCTGGGGATGGAATAATGATGATATAAAGTAAGAGATGATTGTATTCAGTCTACAGTAATTATCATAGGAACCTTTCACTACTTCTTGCACCTCGGTAGTTCTTTGCCTAGAATACCCGACCTGATGCTACGCTGCAATCACATCGATTATATTCGGGACGTCCGATTCGACAGCCAGAAAGGGGAATGCTTTCTCCTTCTGTCCTCATACGACAAGCAGTATGGCAAGCATACTCGAAGTCGAGGAGCATTCCCAAAATTCTATATATTAATACCCATACTTGATATCGTGCTTTAACGTCGTGTTGATGCTGAAAGTCACTTACTGATAACTGCCGCCGACCTTCCGCCTGATTAGATATGCATTCTCCATCCCCTCTTAAGCTTTTATCTTGGCTTCTCCTCATTAAGGCTACATTCGCAATAGCAAATCCTAAGCTCAACAAGCATCGCCGACAAGATGGACCTGTAGACCCAGGAACAGCAACAGATTGCACATACTACGACACCGCCTATGACAGCTCCTATACCTGTGCATACTTCGAAGAGAGCTGGGGTCTCACCCACGCCGACTTCATAGACTGGGTGAATCCCACTCGCACATGCAATCTTTTCTCTACCCAATCCATTCTATCGCAACTACCCAACCCAAACTAACCAACCGACCCCCAGAACCCCTCCCTCAAATCCGACTGCTCCGGTCTCAGAATCGGCAACTCCTACTGCGTCGAAGTAAACTTCGGACTCCCCCGTCAAACCACAACCCTCAAACTCACCTCCACCTCCTCTAGCAGCACCCTCACCACCCCCATTCCAACCGCAACCGGTACCCCCAAGCCCTCGCCCACACAGCCCGGCCTCATCGAAGCCTGCACCACCTTTTACTACGCCGTTTCCGGGGATGACTGTTCCCTCATCGTCGCCAAGTATGGCACCTTCACCTTCGCCGACTTCCTCGCCTGGAACCCCGCGGTAGGGAGCGCGTGTACGGGGTTGTGGGCTTCGACTTGGTATTGTGTGGGGGTGCCTGGGACGCCGACTGTGAGGCCAACTAGCACTAGTAGTACTAGCACAAGTACGAGTGCATCGGGGCCGACGCCGACGCAGTCAGGGATTGTGGGGACCTGTTCGAGGTGGCATTTGGCGGTTAGTGGGGATGATTGTGAGGGGATTGTGAGGATGTATGGGACGTTTAGTTTGGGGGAGTTTTTGGCGTGGAATCCGAGTGTGGGGAGTAGTTGTGCGGGGCTTTGGTTGGGGTATTGGTATTGTATTGGTATGTTGTGTTCGTGTCTTCCTCACTTATGTAGTAGATTATTTCTCGAGTCTCTACTATGAGGTAGATGTTACTGTAGGGTTGTGAGTTAGACGTTGAATGATTAATTGCAAACACAGGTATTCCCGGGACACCAACAACCACATCCAGCACTATCACATCGACGACAGCAACTCCGACGTCAACATGTAATCCTTCGGCCCCAACACCGACCCAGCCGACAGCTATATGTGGGTGTAAGAAATGGCACATGGTCGCTAGTGGGAATTCGTGCGAGAGTATTGAGAAATTGTATGGCATCACGGCTGTCGATTTCAATAAGTGGAATCCAAACGTCGGGACCGCTTGTACGACACTTTGGTTGGGGTATTATGTTTGCGTCGGGGTATGAGAGTGAGATAAGGTTGCGGAAAGTAAATGATTGGTATGAATTGTGTAGATCAAACTAGAGCTCATGACATTTTTAACATGACGCCTGAGTACACATTCCATTCCCAAGAACTAATGCTCTGAACGCCTAACCTCGACGTACTCAAAAACAAATTGACCTGGCCACCAGTGTAAGTCAGACGTCTATCAATGTTATCATTGTTCAAAACATATTGGGTTCATCACCTGGCTGCAATTCGCAAGTATGATACACCTCATCATTAGATCACTGAAGTTGATCGGAGTCATCGGCTTTCACAGGTGATAGCACCAACATTATTGGTTTCAAGTGGTAACCTGTCGTGAATCATCGCTTAGCAGACCAAAGAATTTGCTCAACGTGAATGTATCGAAACTTTGAAGTCGTAAATCATGATATTGTGAATAGTATTTGGAAATCGGAACAGGAGTACGAGCCAGAGTATTTGTTCGCACAAATTCACCGATCCACAAGCTGAAGATCTCGACGCACAATGACAGAGTAGAAGCCTTTCGCTATCCTCATCCTTTTCGCTGAATATTTCATCAAGATTTCTTGTTTTCTTGCATCCAAAAAATGCTCAAGATAAATGACAGTCACATAGCTGAGGTCATGAAGAGCTTTGAGCTGTAGACGGTTTTAGCGCTTGCTATTATAGATGATGGCTCAGGTCCCATTTCTGCGTTGGCAAGAAGATCACGATCAAAATCAACGTTCTTGAAAATATGAAGAATGATGAGCAGGGAGATGGATAGTAGAGCCCAATAGTAACACGACCACGGAACTAAAGCCGGCTGGCTGCATGGATGAGAGCTAGTAGAGCCTGTTCTGCTTTATGATTCCGTCTATCGTGAAAAGGCAAGGCTTCTCCTGTCATCAATCAGCACAACCAAAGGTTGACAAATCTTGGTAACCAGGGTGCCTTAGTATACTAACACGAGGACGAGCAGACAACCTTGATGGTCACTTCTGTGAACCAATTCGCAGCGATGACGATTGCGAAAGGTGGGAATACCGGAGCATTATCCTGAAAAAAGAGGTAAATTGATGTTTGGTGTGGTTCAGATAGTTGTAATTGTGAACTATAGCTGTTATTTGATAGATAAGAAGAGGAAGGATTTGATTGCTGAGTTGGTGGTGGGGGAGAGGCCCAGTAAGGGCAGCTAGATCACTATGCATGTATTGTCGCCTTTGAGTAGAATTATACCACTTGGTTTTATGATTTATACGTGTATTATTCCATCCACGAATTTCCACCAACCCAGACGAAACATTCCCCACAAAGATGGACCAATACAAGCAAAGGTAAGAATCGTAATCTAAGAAAGGAAGGTATTATATTTTGATGAGTCTATGCACGGGTTCCGCAGATGAAGATAATTCTCAATCGGAATTAGCTAGCAACTTGCCTTAATATTTTGAACTTATATTTGCTCGGTTCCACTCATATCTTAGCATTTGAATCTCCGCATCTACAGCAACATATGCGTAGAGCAAGAAGTTCGGTGTACTGGATGCAACAAGTCAAGTATAAGCATCTTCATATACCCGAAACTGAAGAAATGGCAACTCAAGCACACAAAGATTGTCAGTCATAGGCTGTACCCTGAGTTCCGAAAAGCTTGAAGGATTGAAGAGGATTGCGATATTAAATATCCTATTGGGCTTAAATGACTAAAGGATCGAGATAAATAAGTCTAGTATCCTACTTTCCGGCCACCCCTAATTCCAACTACTTTTTTATACCAAAAATCGGGATTTTTACCTATTAATTATTCAACAACCAATGAATCAAATCAATTGAAATTTTAATTACAAAATCATTATATAATTATAAATAGATCCTGAAAATTTCAAATTTTTCACAATTTTATTAATTACGATATAGATGATTGAAATTACAATTTTCAATTTGTATAAAATTTAAATATATTTGAAAATCTTGAAAATCTTTAACAACCTTTTACCAAAAATAATTATAAATTATTTATAAATTTTTCTTAAATCTTGATATTGTAATTAATCAGATAAATTGTTAAAAGGAATGACCTCACACAGGGAATAGTGGGAAGCTGATAGGGCAGAACTGAGGTAATATTGGTCTAGTAGGTTAATCTCTCTTTGTGACGGAAATCCCTGCTTTCCTCCCACCTTTATTATATAAGAAACCTCAGGTACATTAACCATGTCCACACATGATACGATTACTCGAGATTAGTATGCGATTTAGGTGACCTGAGGATCAGATCCGGACAAGTACTAGGTATCAATGGTTATCGGTAAAGTAAGATCATTGGAGGAATAAATACGACTTCTTTTTGCCTAGCCATTGCGGCTAGGCCATTCATTTGTGTATATATAGAGTAGCTATCCCCATCTACAGGTGCTCTTCACCTGTAGATTCTAAGTTAAATACAATTGCTGGTCTATAAACACCCTTTTGGTCACACTCTTCTAAGTTCTACGGAAGTGCGAAGCTCTCTGTAAGAGAGCTTCTCAATCTAGTCCTAACAGGACTAGTGCCCTGTGCACGTGCTACGCAGGAACCATTCACTTTAACATAAATTAATTTATTTGAAAAAAATAATTTGTAATTCTTGTTTTATTGATATTGATATTTTATTTTATATAAAAAAATACTTAATCAATAATAAATCAATAATTACTAATTATTTTTCAAAATAAATTAATTCAAATGATAAATTATAATCTTAAAATTTGATAAAAATTTATAATTTATTTTTATTAATTTTTATTAAAAAGTTATTTTAAATTTTAACGTTTTTCAAATTTATATATAAATCCTACACAAATTGAAAATTGAAATTTCAGTTTTCAAGGTCTCAATTAATAAAATCATTAAAAAACCTGAAATTTTCAGAATTTGTTTTTATGTAAATAATAAATCTATATTAAAAATTTCAAAATATTATATTTATAAATAAGAAAATTATGAAGATCGATTTTTGTTATTTTTGGTAAGGAAAAGTGGTTTATATTAAAGATGGTCTAAATCAGGTACTAGACTTAATACTAAAGTCTGAAAATACTATCTATAGTAAGATTAAATCTAGCATTTCACTTAATTTCAAACGAATAAGGTAAAATAGACTCTAATTACTACTATGTTTTACTTTTCATAAACTCGCTTGCATGATACATTTTAGGAGTAGAGAAGAAATCCCTACATTTATTGTCCTACGGATTGATGGATGATGGGTAGATTAATCGGCGATTAGATAAGATTATAGTTACACTTGAGAAGTGAAGGTAATATTTCCCCCGAGGAAGTATTATTAGAGCGAAGAATGAATATTTTGTCCACTTCTTCTTTGTATCTGGTGAAGGCATGAGAGGAAATAAGCATTCGAGTAAAAGAAGTGAGGTTTAAATGCGATCAGGATGAGGGAAGAAACCTGTTGATCGACAATCAGGCAATTTGATGAAAGAATCGAAGGGATTGAAATAGAAATGAACAAGAAGATAAATCCTCGCATTCCAGATATCCTTGAAAAGCAAAAGCAAGAATTGAGGAAGTATATTTAAAGTTCAAGTGGAAACCTAAAGCGGGAACACCACAGACTCGGACATTTAAAAAAGTACCCAACATGAAACTATTTATCATCTGATTAACATGTCTTCGAAATTTCGACGTCATATTACTATACATCAGATAAAAGTGAAACCAAAGTGCGGGTGGCGAGTTCTTCAGGAGATGACTAGATAAAATGGTTGTTTGTGATGAAGATGAAAATGAAATGAATGAAATGAATGAAACGAGAATGAAAACATGATGAAGGAATATTGTAAAGACACGTTGTCATAACAATGGTTGTCAATAATTAATCTTGTAAAACTTGAATATATGAAGAAAACATTCAATGGTATGTTAAAAAGGAATGGTGACATCGAATGCTGTCAATTCTTGGTGCTTATATTAGTTCATGAGGCACAGACAAAATGACGATAGAATCATTGGTACACGTTTCGAAGCTTTCGATAGAAAACCCAGAAAGGTTCCAAGAAGGAAGTCAAAGGTCAAACCAACCATCGACAGAAAATAAACTTTGAGATGTTTCGTCTCCTCGCGCCGTTCCGTAATATCTTCATGTATTCCCGTGTATCTGGGGTACATGATGCTTCAGCCTAGAGGGAGAGGCCACAAGCTAGAATCCGCAGGCTTGACGAATACCGAGTCTTGGGGCTTTTAGTGATTCCCTAGTCGTACGATGTCCGAGATCTCAGGGTGGGAGGTTCATCAGCGACAGTGTAGCCATTGTAATAAGCTTACAATGCGCCAGGAATTGTTTTCGTGAAGATGATGGCGGAGTATACAGCATGATGGTGGTTGGACAGCATAAAAGTTTCAGCCATAGAGGATCATGTTACTCATTCTGTATATGTTATCCAGTCTGTGTACAGATGGTGAGTTATGCTGATGATGATTGAATCGATTGACTGATGAAGAAGTCGGTGAGCATATCTCGTTGCTCATAACATCGTTTCGAATTCTTGATATGATGTTCATTTGACTGGATATCAAAAGAAGCCGGAGAAATCCACCAGTGGTCCCTTTTCGAAGATCAGAATTAAGCATTGGCGAAATTTAGCCATTTTTTGTAATTGATAAGGCTGGATGTTTGATATTTCCGTCATTTTGGCGAATCAAATCCACTTACATTAACATGTTATTTATTTCGGAGAATTTGATTCGCTTATTTCTGCAATCTAATCTTATAATATCCGGATCTGGCATAATGCTCAAGTAAGTACAAGGGTTGCGATTCAGCTATTGGATATCTTACTAGGAATATCATGGCAGTTAGGTTCAATTGGACGAGTGGAGGAATTCCCATTGGTCGATTCCCCTTCCACATCAAATACTTCGGACATCAATCTCAGAAAGTTCATGAACCTGGCGATTCCATAATTTTCATCATCTTGTCTTCATTCATCAATAATCAATTACTCTTACAATTCATGTTACAATCATGTTGATTGATAATACGAGCCAAAGAAAAGCTTTGGCCGATGGTTTGTCTGCAGCCATTGAGTCGGTGTTGGCAGATTCTGCAATGTCTGTATCTGGTAGCTGGAGGGAGGGGTAAGTGTATATACATGTACATTTGATGCGCCGAGTAACGCATAGATGATGCTTTATCATGACATCCTGATGCGAACGTAGCCTTAGGAAATGGGTTCCCGCATATTCCATGGTAGTACCTCGTAATCTTTTCAAGGTCATATCCAATCATTTTCACACGGTTCATGGATGATGTATGTGTGTATCAATCATATCTATTTATCGGTACGGAGTAGTCGTACAAATTGAATGAACCTTCTCAAGGACCAAAACAATAATCGGAGAAAAAAAGATTCAAGAAAAAGAAAAACCCGGCTTCACCAAAAATGGTCGACATACCTACCTAGAAGGTACTTATTAAGCACCTTCCTTCTATATGGAATACTGACATCAACCTCTAAAGGGAAAGAGGCATAACCAAAAACCATCGCCGATATCAATTGATAGTGAAACCATAGTGAAAAGAACATCGGAATCTTCGGCCTGTAATAAAATTCATACAGTCAAGGTCCGGCGGAAACATTCATGCAAAAATTCTTGGTAGGGAATGCCCAGTTGAGCACCAAAAGATTATCACAAGGCATTGAGGGGAAAGAGCCAAAGAGTTCTCATTCAGATTCAATTCATGCAATAATCGCCAAATATATTATGTACAGATGCTGCAAGACTGCAAGCCTCCATTACCGGTTTCAGTAGGTGTACGGAATAGATGAATGGTTGTTGTACGTATTTACGCTATTTTAGTAATCCTTCATCAGTTATCCAGCTATCCAACTATCTCACCTGGTGTCCCATCCAGCTATCCAGCTTTCAAGCCTCAATTCTAGAAAGAGAATATCTGCGCCACTATGCATGGCTGGCACACTTATATGTGAGTACAAGGACTACAGTTATATTTCCTATACTTCCTCATATTTGTTCATATTTATTTAATCATAACACTCAAAAACAAATCATATCAAAACCGACTTTTATACCATCGAATAATAACATGAAACTATTCCCAAAATTTGTCCAAGGAAAAGAGATACTAAAGCAGGTACCTGCCTACACAATCTAGCTGAAGTGCCAAATGACCTAATCCACCCCAGCTCGGCGCATCCACCCGTTAGCTAGTAATCCATTATCCATATCCATTATCCATATAGCTCAAACTCCCTACGTACAAATTAGAAGCTCCATACTAATTAAGATATTCTCTATCTTTTGCTTTATGGATATCTTTTTAATGCATACACTCATTTTTATACATCAAATCCTCTTCCGCCATCACATTTAAATCCCTGATTTTTAACGCAATTTCCGAATTGGGGCTTTTTCTATCAATTGATCTTTCCCATTTTTACTTTTCCTTCTATTATATACCATTTCTTCATTTCTCCTTCAACAAACCTTGTGTGCTAGACAACATTCCAATGTCATATCAATCAAATCATTCAATCATACATCAGCGATACAATCTCGGTTCTCGTCTCCGCGGCTCCTTCATTCTTAACCACGGACTTCCCACACACCATACCAGTCCTGTCGACGCGGCTCCGCAGTTTTAGGAAAACTCTCCTCGAAATCCATTGGAGGAGAAATTGATCTTCTTATATCACCAGAAAAATTATCAAGGAACTCAAACTGGACGAACATATAAATCTCAAAAGATATTTCATACATATTATGTAATATCAGAGAAACCTTCACAAATCCAGATTCTTTCGATTCTTTCGATTCTTTCGATCCCTTTGCAAATTCACTGACCCAAAAACGATGCACCACTCTACAAGCCGTTGAAGTTTCCTCAAAAACTCTATTTCATTCAACCCATTCCGAGTCTTCTCCATTTATTCGACGTCATGGATACTACTTTGATTACTTTCATGTTGTGAGTTGAGTATTTTCATTCCTTCCCTGAGCTCAAGCTCAAATCGAATATCTTATCACGTGTTCTGTTCTGCATGCGCCTTGATCATCCCTTGAGACAACCATTGAATTGAAAGAAACTTTGTTTCTTGAGAACGTTCATTATCTTTGCTTCACACAAACCAAGAGATTTGGGAAAGTTTACCAATCAAGTCTGGACTCAATGGCCATTATAGCCTTCAGAAATATAGCTTGTCTCGGTCTAAGACAAAAATGTTCATCTTATCTTGAGTCTCGAGATGCATCTTCTATTTACAGAAGCTTTTTTCATCACGTATTTCGTCATAAGCATGGGCATGAAGTTTATTGTGCACATGCTTTCACTAATACCATATTGTCTCTTGAAACTACGGGATGGAGCGCCGCAACTCTAGTCAAACTTTGTGGTTCCCTGCTTCGCCAAGATAGGAGATGGACATTCCCAAAGTCTATCGAAAATCCCGATGATCTCGATGATCCCGATGATAGTCAGAATGTATTTAGATATAAGGGATCATTTTGTTCACATCAATGAAGAAAACATTTTAATCATAACAACTAATTTTTACTATCTTTTAGTCAAGCAACTGCTAGAACACAATCTGTTCAACTTGCTCCTTATTGCACATAATTTCACTAAGCGAT